AGGACTAGATTCAACAACCTTATCCGAGTCAACCACATCATTCACCTTTACCGATGTTGCCAACGGCGACGGCGACGGCGACTGCCTTCCCGAAGATACTGCAAAAGATGCAGCTGCGGCAGTGAATCGCTTGATAGGGCTAGGGCGCGGAGGAGGGGAGCCAGGTACAGGAGTAGCGGTCGAAGGACTGGGTACACCCGCCAGTTTGCTATTCCTTCTGACTTGCGACCACAGGCCAGAAGATGCGGTTGCCTTCTTATCAACTCTTCGGTTGAGGTATACCCTAGGTGTAGGTGATTGGGCTGCTCGACTCCGGCTAGTTATCCGTTCGATTATCTCCTTATATGCTGTCTCATAGATATCGATGTCCGCTGCCGGAGGAGACTCACTGACGACCATGGGTGATTCAGTAAGAGTCGGCCTAGCAGGGATTGGGATTCCACCAGATTCCAAGGGTGAATCATCTTGTTTTGTTTGGTTAAGTTCGGCCTCCGGTCCAAAATTTGACGGGCCAATGTGGAGGAAAGGCATTTCTTCCTCTAGCGGGTCACGAGCATGACCACGGGTGCCTTCAGAACCGGTCTGTCGCATTGGTGTATCTGCTCTGGGGGTAGATTGGAGTTGTGGGGATGGAGATGTACATATCTCGAGAGGCGGAGTGGAAACTAATGGTGAATTATCGGTAGTTGCCTGACTTGGCCGTTTGGGTTGAGTTGGCCGTCTGGGATAAACATGTTCTTGCATGTTCCTATGATGCAAGACGGCACTAAATTCTTCTTCTTCCTCTTCTCCCATGAGAAGCGGAGGCTGCACAAAGTGCGATTCTTCACCCTCACCAAGAATGCTCTCCATCTGCAACGGGCTTCCGTCATTTATAAGTCGTTTAAATTTCTGGACGGCTTTGACCTGCAAGCGAAGGGTTAGACTGCTTTCGAGAACAACGAGCGGTAAAAGATACATACTACTATAAGCGCATGGCCTAGATTCCTAGTGATAGCGGTATCCATTTCCTCTTCTGTTGGTGGCCCTACGAGAGTTGCTGTATTCTCCTCCTCAGACAGAAGGGGATCTGTACCGTCTTTGGTAACCCAAGGATGCGCCTAGCCATTATTTAGTAACAGGAAATCGATACAAGGTCATTTGACATACCCTTAACTGTGGCATAGTAATTCTTTTAGCAGGGTCCTTCTCGAGAATCTTCGTCATGAGGTCCTTGAAATGTTCATTCGTCTCGCCAGGAAGCTCGACTTTGTCATTTCTGATAGCGTTGTATAAGTCGAATATATTGCTTGTGTGGAATGGTATGCGCCCATAGCGTAGGCAGTAAAGGGTCACTCCCATAGACCACACATCAACTGCTCGACCGGAGATCTCACCATGCTTGGCAACGCAAAGCTCCGGTGGGATAAAGGCAGGTGAGCCTGCTGACTTAGCTATGAACATGTCTGAAGTCTTCTCGAACATTTCTGAAACACCAAAGTCAACAACCTTGAGGACGTCGTCGTTTGTTAACAGGCAGTTATCTGGTTTTATATCACGATGCACAATCCCTTGCGCATGTAGATACTCAATACCTAGGATAAGGTCACGGAACCAACATCGGCAGTTTTCTTCACTGTATGGGTCTGCCTGTTCACCTAGGCCGACTTTCATGATGACACCTTTCTTGCACATCTCCATTACCATGTAGAGAGAGTCTTCGGTAGGGTCATCTAACACCTCTATCAGGGACACAAGATTGCTGTGATTGAGCTTTTTCATAATGGCAATTTCCTCTTTGATAAGGTACAGAGAGTTTCCGTTTTCACCTTCGTCAATTCCAGAAGGGTGCCGATGGAGCGGTGAATTGAAGCCAACACCAGCAGGTTGAACACCTGGATGCCTTCCGGGACGACGGCGGAGACCATGAGACTGAGCCCGTTTTCGCAGGCGGGATTTTGAGAATTCTTTAATGGCCTAATCCTGTTAGAGGTTGAAGGCAACATTTGTGCATTTTTGGGTGAACAGGCCAGCTTTTTTGCGAAACGTACATATTCCTGCCCATACTGATCCGTAGCTAGGTGGACGGCACCGAACGAGCCTCTGCCAATTTCCTGCTTGATTAAGTACTGATTGATACGGTGTTCCGCTGTATTATCGTCCTGGCTGTTGGTGTATGTTGATTGAGCATTGAGTGTTTCCTTGACATAGGCTATTCATTAGTCAATCGCGTCGAATCGAAAAGCTGTAGCATGTTGCTGCATGAAGTAGACGGAGACGACGAACTTTAACCTGCCGTGGGGCAGTAGGGTGTCGAGCATGCTGCCGCAGTGGGCTATCGTAGGAGCCGGAGGTAGGCCTGGCACTGTACCCTCCCCCCTCTCATGGAGAGCGTCGTTAGTTCAACTAGTTATGTGCTTGCTACCCCACACACGGACAGAGAGGAAAATGGAGGGACGCACCCCTTTAGAGCGGTTGGACCAGGTTCTGAGCTTCGAGTAGTCTGCACTTCAGCGTCTAGAGCGAGCTGGGCCGTTCGGCCATGCTTCAAGATGGGATCGGCGTCCATCTATAGCGACTGGGCGTCAGTTGAAAGGGTCAAACCGGGTAGTATCTATATGGAAATGTAGGCCGCGCTGCTTTCCGGCGGAGCGGTCTTCTCGAACATGAATGCTGAAGAGATGGAGGACGTGGCCTGATATATCTGACCGTTTTCTGTCTGCCGTGCACGTTTGTGAGCCTAAGCACTCAAGGTGCATGCACAGGGAAGAAAAAGGCTGGAGGGATGTGGGGTATGGCGGTCGACCGGGCTATCCAGGTATTTAGTATAGCTTCATGGTGTCCCGCCACAGTCGAGGGAGAAATCGAGACGGTAGACAAGGTCAAGAGTGTCGTAGAATGTTTGTCGAGGGTCGGGCATAAGCATCAGCTAGATCACGGCGCTTGATATCTGGTTTGTGCGGTGCTCTGGGGGAAGTATAGCGGTGGACGGCTCGTCTCCCTGGCCACTCTTATCGGCTCGGCAAGGCAAAACGGGCGTTGGGATTGAAATCGGCCACCTGGATAGTCTGCAGAGGCTCAGCCAGTCGTCGACGTCCAGCTAGCCCTAGCAAATACTCTGAAATAAAAAAAGACCGGGCCGCGTAAGGGAGATAACAACGGCTGAAGAGAGCGTGGATGTTGGGCTGTCTGCTAAGTATCTATCTACATCGTCAACAGGGAAGAAAAGGCGTCTTGGGAGATTACAAAGGAGCGTCACGTGAACGGGCGTCTTTTCTTCCCCCTTGAACTACTGAGAAGAGGACAAGCAAGCAAAGACGCGGGCGAGACAGCGCTGGCCCTCCCCACGATGGTCGTCTACTCGTTCTTCATCTTCGACCGGCATGGTAAGTACATCGTTTTGCGTTGAGGAGAAAGAGGCATTGTGGTAATGGTTCTGACGTGAGCGCAGCGGAGTGCATATACCAACGACAATGGTACCCGCGTCCAGGCACAGCTGCCGGGGGAGCGAGCAAGGACCTACATCCATCGGATGGAGCGCTTTCGAACGGCCTGACAAAAGACTCTCACAAGTCAGGCTCGACGGACACTCGACTAGTGTTTGGGGCTGTCTTCTCGCTGCGAAACATGGTACGGAAGCTCGGTGGTGAGGACGATAAGTATGGCCCCCCAAATCCGCGCTCCGCGACAGGCGGCAAGAGAAGCGGGAGAGAAAGGAGGTATAGGGTGAAGGTAGCTGTGGATGATGACGAGGAGCTGACGTGGTTTGAGTGAAAAAGCTTCGTGTGTTACCGGACTGGCCAGTATAAGCTACACTACTACGAGACACCAACGAACCTGAAGTTTGTGATGATGACCGACACGAAGGCGAACAATATGCGCCTCGCCCTGCACCAGATCTATGTCAACCTGTATGTGGAATACGGTGAGTCACTCCACGCTGCTATCCTTGTTCCAGGCAGGGCGTGCTTTTCTGATAAACTGGCATTTAGTGGTGAAGAACCCCCTTTCTCCAGTCGAACATCCTGGTGGCGTTGGAGTGTACAACGAGCTCTTCGAAGAGTCACTTGAGCAGTTTGTGGTACTACCGTTCCTTTCTCTGCGCTTGCAACAAAAGGGAGTTGAAAAAAAGACTAGCTGACCGTCTCGTTCTAGACCCGAGTGCTCTCCTAAGTAGGTGAACTGCCAAGAAAGCAGAGAGCCAAGAGTGATTTGAAGAAATCAAAAGAGCAAACTACCCAGCCACAGCGATGAAGAGATTCGAGGTGGAAGCACGATGGGGATACCGGACCATGTATTCTCCCCTGTACAACAGCAGCAACAAGCATCGAAACCCAGTCCAGGAAAGCCCAAAAAGCCCACCGGGGGCCAAGCTATCTTCAGCTCTGGCAAGCCACGCCAAGAACAATGCGGGTATATCCGTGCAAAATTTCAAGATCAGAAGCAGGCCAGCGCATCGATGAGAAGAAGAGAAGGGAATCGACCTCCCCTCGACTTGCAAGGGGCTCGGGCTGATAGCTGATAGGGCTGAGAGGTACCCTGTCTGCTGCCGGTAGCACCAGGGTCATCTTTTTTTCCTTTCGGCGAACCAAGGCGCGAGAGAGAATAGAAGAAAAACCAGCTGTTTGATAGCATCTAGACCGTCCTTGTCCTACAGTAGCAACCAGCTGAAATGCCTCTCTCCATCCTGCACACTTCCACTGCACTTCCTGCATCTCCTTCACCCGCGCCTTCACGGAGTATGGAGGATTTCTACTACGTATTTCTACTTCTCCATCTCTTTGCTGTGAAATCCGAAAGTCGAAACTAACCCTAACCCTCGACTTAGCGTTGTGGCTAATGCCTTGGCGCTGAGTCAGCAAATAACACCCAGGCGGCACCGGCACTCAGGCCGGCAGGCGCCCCTAATCAGGCAAGTCCACGCTGTTTTAACCGGGAGAAAAGCTCCCGCGTTCCGGCGTTGCGCGATTTAGCCGGGCGGGCGCTGGCTCGGTGGCAGATGGGAGATCGCAGGCAGAGGGATGCAGCAGAAGAAGCAACGAAGAACGAGGAAGAAGCAAAGGGCAGACGCCATGCGGCAGCCGGTCGAGGTGCATGAGCGTCGTGCATGGCCTTGCAGCGTGGTGCAGCGTCGTGCATCATCGACCAGCCAGCGGGCGAGGAGGCAAGGCAAGCCGGACAGCCGGCAAGGGTTGGACCTCATGCCGACGGCCTCCCTGCCCCCTGCTCTTGCTCTTGCTCTTTGCTCCTTGCTCCTTGCTCTTGCTCTCACATTATTGCTTTGCGCTATGATGTCTATCACCTCCTCTTGCTGCTGACCTCGTACATATGGAGCACTTCCTGGTGCCAGCCGCGATTATAGACGCTGACCAAGCAAGGAGGGGAGCTCGAGCCACTTGGTTAAAGGAGCAAGGACAGGCTTAGTCAGCCACACCAAGCGCTGGCCTGGCTTTTTTTGACCCAAAACCTCCTCCTCCTCCTCGTCTCGTCCGCCGCCCGCCGTTTTCTCTCTCGCCTGTTTCCCACACACTCGCCAGCAACCCGCACCGCAGACACGCCGCCCGCCAGACGGAGAGACTGCCAGAGACACCGCCAGAGACAGAGAGACGCTCAGCATCAGTGCTCGCTACCGTTTTGTCGTCTCGTTGACCGCCGGGCCTTGCCTGGCTTACTCTGCTCCCTCACCTATTTTCTCACCTCCTCTGCCCGCTTACTTCCTTACTACGGGCTGCTTATTACGTCTACTACTTTCACCACCAACCAACCCGCCACCTCATCAACAGCAGCAACAATAACAACTGATACAAATACCTTCCCTGCTCCGGCTCTTCTCATGAATTCATTCACGCCACTCTCGTCTCCGTCTCCGTCCTCCGTCTCCTCTTCGACCTCGCACTCACAGCATGAAGATCCCCAGCTAACACGCGCTTTGGAAGACTCCCGTCAGCCCGCTCCTCCGACGACCTCTGCTCCTGCTCCCGCTCCTGGACCCCCCAACACTGCTTCTTCTACCGCCACGACTGCCTCGCTTCTCTCGGCTGCCTCCTCGATCGTCCCCCAAAAGCCGCCGAAAGCAAAGATGACCAACCGGCTCAGTCGCATGTTCTCTCAGACCCGCTCGTCAGCGCCTTCTGCCTCGGTCTCCCCCAATAGACAGTCTCTCGACCCGTCCCCCAGACAGAATGGTGACTCGACCATTGCTTCGACCATGATGATGCCTCCTCCTTCGTCTTCCCCGGCTACAGGCCCAACAGACCGAAAAGCCGACCAGAAGGTTGGGGAGAAGAAACCGGACGGGAAACCTGCAGACAAAAGGGCAGAAAAGGGCAAGGACGCCGTTCAGCCAATAAAGCGGTTCGAGTTACTCCCAGATGGAACGCACAAGCACACTCTCAAGTCGGCAAGGCGTCAGGAGAAGCTCTCGGACATGCTACGTGATATGATCGGAGCCGGAAAGAAGAAGGAAGATGCTGCTGCTGCTCACGCTCACCCACCAGGCCAGGCCGATGACCAGCAGCAGCTCTCTCTAGTCTCCACCTGGGTTGACCAGCTGAAGAACGAAAAGGAGAAGATGGCAGCCGATAAGAAGGGCGGACCAAACAGCACGGCCTCTCTTGTTGACAAGTACGGCAAGTGCCATGAAATCGTCGGACGGGGTGCCTTTGGAATTGTCCGCATCTCCCACAAGATCGATCCCAAGGACTCCAAGACAGAACACGTCTATGCCGTCAAGGAATTCCGCCGCCGACCCCAAGAAACAGTCAAGAAATACCAGAAGCGTCTCACCTCAGAGTTCTGCATCTCTTCCTCGCTCCGCCATCCAAATATCATTCATACCCTCGATCTCATGCAGGACGCCAAGGGTGACTACTGCGAGGTCATGGAATACTGCGCTGGAGGAGACCTCTACACTCTCATTCTCGCAGCCGGCAAACTCGAGGTCGGCGAGGCTGACTGCTACTTCAAGCAACTCATGCGTGGCGTCGAATACATGCACGAAATGGGTGTTGCTCATCGAGATCTGAAACCCGAAAACCTCCTGCTCACTACGCACGGTGCACTCAAGATCACTGATTTCGGCAACGGGGAATGTTTCCGCATGGCCTGGGAGAAAGAAGCGCACATGACCGCTGGTTTATGTGGGTCTGCACCATATATCGCACCCGAAGAATACGTGGATAAGGAGTTCGACCCCAGAGCTGTAGATCTGTGGGCTACTGGTGTCATCTACATGGCTATGCGGACCGGAAGACATCTGTGGCGCCAGGCCCAGAAGGAAGAAGACGAATTCTATGATCGATACCTTGAGGGACGCAGGGACGAAGATGGCTACGCCCCTATCGAGACTCTGCATCGTGTAAGTAACATCGCACGATTCTCTGTCTTGGCACTTGACATTACATCACCATACCCCATTCCTCCTCCCTGTCTCAACGCTCCTCTTCCCCACTAACAAAAAGATGAAAATATAGGCACGCTGTAGAAACGTTATCTATTCCATCCTTGACCCCAACCCTGGACGCCGTATCACAGCTTCTCAGGTTCTTAAATCCGAATGGGTCCGGGATATCAAGCTATGCAAAGCTGGTGAAGAAGGCTTCTAATCATGCACTTTTTCCTCATCTCCCACCCTTTTCCTCCCTTCCGCCTACCACCAATGCAAAGGTGATGATGGGCACCAGTCCGATTGGCAGGTAAGCCGATGGAAAAGGAAAAAGAAAGAAAGAATACCAAAAGAAACGAACTAAGAAAAAGGAAGGATC